TGATGCAGTAAACCAAGCATCCTGTTTACAATCATCAGACCAATGATCAAATGCTCTTACAGTTAAATCATCATCATTATTAGGTTTAGTTATAACTATAATAGTATGAAGTGTCCAGCCTTCTTTTCCATAAAAGTCCTTTTTAGTTTCACGGGAATTTCTGGGGTTTACTTTCATTTTATAATCACAAACTAAAATTGCACCGTCGTGTGACAATCCACGTAATTCAGCATTAAATTGTGAATTTAAATATATTTTGCGTAATTGGTGAGATAAATAATATAGGAGTTTTTCTTCAAGTTCTTGAACTTCATTTGATTCAATTATCGAGTATTCTTTGATTTCTTTTAAAATAATAAACAATGATGAACAATTTTCACAAAAAGAATTGTGTTCATCTTTGCATTCTCCAAATGCATAAAGAAGACAATGATTTAAACATGGATTATGTTCAAGTAAACCATTGTTTAACACTTTAATTTCTTCTTCTAAACCACGTTTAATATGGCGTCTAATTAACTCTATTTTATGGATTAATTCTTTTCTATCTTCTGAATATAATTCCGATGCATTAATTGAGTTAATTATTGAATTGAAAACCTGATACCCATAAAAATCACAAGTTATACATAATCCGCCTAAGTCTTCCCTGTATTTAAAATTGACCATCTAGTCTACACATAAAACTTGTTCTTTTTAATCCATCAGGATATTCTTCATGATATTTTTCCCACATTTCACTTTTAGTTGATTTTAAATAATAAATTGGATTTTCTGTTTTTGGATCTGTTTTGTAAGAACTCATTGTAACATTATTTTTATCACTTAAAAAAGTCTCTAAATCTTTTAACTGATCATTAGAGAACCTCCCTTTTGTTATTTTTACACAATCTTCTTCTAAAATTTGTCCACCTTTTCCATATAATTGTGCATGAATTCTGGCATAATTTATTAAATTATTGCTAACATTGAGCTGTTCTTTTAATTTTGCATATGTAAAATCTTCTGCAGTTATTGATAAGATCTTTTGTTGACCTTCATTTCCTCTAATTTTATTATTAATTGAATCTTCAAAACATGACCAAAAGGTTTTTACTTGTGAATCTAGTTCCTGATTCTTATTTAATTCCGATTTTAGTTCTACTAACTTTTCTGGTTCTGAATTGATTTCAGAAAAAAGCTGTAATATTTCTAAGTCAGCTGTGGTGTCATTGGCTTTGGACCAATACTCCTTATTGTTGTCAATCATTATTTTTTTACATCCTGATGCATTTAATAGTCGCCTCCAAGCTCTTGTTTTTATAAAATTATTTTCATTCAAATTTATAACATTCTTTTCAATAATTTTAAATTTATATAGTAAATTGTAAAGTTCAAACAAACTTGACTTTTTATCATGCAAATAATTTAAAACTGACATTGTAAGTTCTTTACTGTTGGTGTGTATTGTATATGTTTGATGAAGTTTCTCAAAAGTATTTGAACATCATTGGTGTAAACCAATTTTGAAATTCATTAAATCATTGATAACTTCTTTTGATTTTACATTTTCTAATAAAAAGAGCTGACTACCAGAGAACATATTGAATAATCAATCCAATTGATTTCCATAATTCATTTACATCAGAATTTTCATAATCTTTTAGAATTTCGCCAGTTTTTGTTGAATAAAGAGTTACATAAAATTTGCTTTTATTATAGGTAGGGATGGGAAAATTTCAAACTTCATGTGCATCATGTGCACTGCATCTGCTGATCTTTTTTATTTTTTAAAAAAAAATTTATTATTATTATTAAAAAAAAACAAAACAGATTTAATTACTAATATT